TATTTGATTATTTTGACTTTATTCATTTATTTTCTTTTATTTATTTTTCCTGCTTAACCTATACCTATTTATTTATTAATTATTTAAATTTATAATTTATTATATTAATTTAATTTTATTTATTTTTTAAGCTCATGAATATATTTATTAACATAAAGTAACAAAATTAAAATTAAAAAAGCTAGAATGTGAAGTAAAATTTATTAAATATAAATCACATAATTTAAATTATATTCTTTTATTATATTATATTGTAAAGAAGTTTATAATCATTATTCATCTTCACCTGGCAAAATTCCATTACATATTCAATCAATCTTAAAAAAATCAATTGAACAAGAAACTGAAAAATCAACAGATATTAGTGTTAAAAATATTTGTTCAGGTTAGTATTAATTATTTGTTATTAATATGTTTAAATTTATTTTTTAAAAAATTAATAATTTATTAAATTATATTATATTAGAAAATATTATTTCTTTTTTTTTTGGAGACCAATTTTTATTTGAAGTACATGTTTCTTTAAATAATATTAACAAAATAAGAAAACTTGTACAAAAAGCACAACACCAAATATAATCATTTGATCAAGATATACTTGGTTTTGTTTATGACTTTTGGAAAAATACAAACAATTTTCAAGATTATATTCAAAAAATATATAAGTATAAAATCATATTTTAATTTTTAATATTTTTTAAAATTATTTACTAATAAATAATTTTTAGCATTTTTTTTAAGTGGCTATTTAATGATTTTATATATAATGAAAATTCAAGCAAAAAAAGTTTTTGATTATAATTATTTTCAAGTAAATCTTTCTTTTAAAAGAGTTGCAAATAAAGATATTAATGAGTTAGAATTTAATGTCTATAATCAAAAATATTCAACAAGTAATATTATATTATTTTTTAAGTTTATTTATTAATTTTTATTTTTATTAACTTTATTATTAATTATTAATTATTAATTATTTTTTTGAATTAGCATTATGTTTATGTAGAATTTTTACCACTATAACTAATGCTAAAGCATATAAGAAAATGTTTATTTCATTTTTTAATTATATTGAAATATTAACATCTCAAAAACTTCAATTTCAACATATTTATAATACTGGATTAGGTTTTATTGTTGTTAATTTAAATTTGGCTCAAGCAAAAGGTTTAGAAAAAGCTTTAAAAACAATTAATCCTTCAAAAAAAGGAAAACAAAATTTAGAATAATTATTAAATCATGTAGAGTTTATTTTCAAAGGTAAGTAAATTATTTATTAATTTTTATATATTATTTTAAAATTTTTCTTTATTATTATATTTAATTAAATTTTTTATTTTAATAATATTAAGAACTATTCATAATAGTAATTATTCTAATAAAGCAAAAAGTTTAATGAATGAATTAATTAATCAAACTAATAAGGAAGATATTCAACAATTGTTTAAAGCTTTGGAAAAATTAAATGAACTAAAAATACAAGGTAAATTTATTAATTATATAATTTTTAAAAATTACTAATTTTTAAATTAATTTAAAAATTTTATAATTTTTAGATTGGATTTCATTTTATAAAACTCCTTGGATTTTAGTATTATTAACACAAGCTTATACTAAAATGCTAACTAATCTATGGAATTCTACTCCATTTGATACCAATATTGCTGAATCTGCATAGCATCAGTAAACAGAGAAGGGATAAAATTAAAACTTAGAGTAGCAATTATAAAGTAAGAATTATTAATTTTTTATTTTAATTTAAAAAAAATTTATAAATTTTAAATTTTTTTAAAGGGGTTGGAATTTTGATTTGCTAGCTTATAAAAGAATTGGAATTTATAATAAATTTTCTATTTCTAAAACAAATAAAGATACTAGTATAACACAAAGAAAGTATAATGCAAATAAATGCAAAAGTAAGTTTATTATTAATATTTTTAATTATTAATTTAAATTATTAATTATATTAGTAAATTATTAATTTATTAAATTTTAATAATTAAAGCAAAAAAATTGTTAGTGTTAAAAAACAAAAAGGTATTCAAAGAACTGCACCTATTAAAAAAAGAGCAAAAACAAAGATTACTTCAAACAAAACTAAAGAAATAATATCAAATTATGCTGAAGGTTCAAATATTGGATTTTTAAAAGAAGAAAGAGATTTTGTTTTAAAAGAGAAAGAAATAGAAATTTCTATTAAAGAAAGAGAGGCTGCACTTGAAATAAAAAATCAAGAATCATAGATAGCAATTGAAAAATAAAAATTAGAAAATGAAAGAGTTAGATTGGAATTACTTGCTAAAGAAATTGAATTAAAAGAAAAGGCAAAAAAATTAGATTCTTAATTAATATTATTAAGAGATTTGCCAATAATTGCTTTTTTATTTTTTAAATAACAAAGATTATAATTTGTTTATGATAATTTTTGAATTAATAAGAATTAGTAAAAAAAAAAATAAATAAATTTAATAAAATTTATTTTTTTACTATTGCTTAAATTTATAAAATAATATACATAATATACTGTATATTAATTTTAAATATATAAATTAAATTTAATATAAAATTTTTTATTAAATAATACATTATATATATTCTAAATTATATACTAAAAAAAAAAAATAACTATATACTGTATATATTAAATTATACTCTAAAAAAAAATAACAATATATATTTTAACTACTAACTGTACCGTACTGTACCCAAAAGAATAAGTTTTTTATAAGGTACTCAAATTATAAATCTAGCATATATTTAAAATATTAACTGTACCGTATCTAGGCAAAAAATATTTTTGTTAGATACAGTTCTTAAACTAATATATATTATTTTGCGTACCTACTAGGTACACAAAAATTACTAGGTACATATATGCACTTTAGAAATATACTGTACCTGACCCAATACTCAGAAGTGTACCGTACCAAAATGGGCATTACCTCTAAAATCCAGATACTCAATCCCAACATTACTATAATACTAACTGTATTTCTGTTGAGATTTTGGCAGTATCGGAATTTTGATGTCGGGTTTTGATTTTGGAATTTTGTATGTCAAGATTCTGATATAAAACCGAAGTAAGCTTAACCATGATTGGCTCGCTGCACCTGCGCTATCCCCTGTGTTGGCGTGCCATAATGCACCATCAATATTATGCACCATAAAGTACCTTGCACCAGCAACTCTAATATCAATCGAATTTATAGTTGCAAGACTAACATCACCTAACATGATGCACCACGTTCAGGTATATAAAAATCTCAAGGCAAAATATCATAAATATTTATATGGTAATATAAATATATAGACAGCATGCATTATAATCTCATTAACTAAAGCTTTATAAAAATTTAATTTATTAAAGATCATATGCATGTTTTTTCCAAACTTAAATTTTTGTAATTTTTTTTAAAGAATTAAAGGATTATTAACAAGATACCGCATAATATAGAAAAAAAAAGATTGAAGGTACCAATAAGCAAAAGAATTTCTTAAATCAAGGCGATACATACTATATTTTAAATTTTGACTACTTACATAAAATTCTGATGGGATATCACACGTTGTTACTATCAAGTGGGAGAGCGAACGGCAATAAAGCCTGATTAGCTTTGATAGTAACGGGAAGAGAATGGGTGGAGTTAACAATACAGATAAGGTGATGTATCGGGTTCTTCAGGGGGTGTATTGGGGTGGGCGATTATACAATTCGGGACCGGTAATTGTTGGACGGATTTGGGGTAATTATGATATGAGTCAACAATTACGATTCGGATAGATTAATATGTGATGTACAATTAATATGTATGCGCGGGACACTTTAAGTGCATGCGCCGTATAATTTAGATACTTTAAGACGGAGGATATAATAAATAAATTTATTAAATATTTCTAATACGTTGAGATATGAAACTAAAACAGAAGATAACAAAAGTAAAACAAAGAATAAATAGATAAAAATAAATAAATAGGTATAGGTTAAGCAGGAAAAATAAATAAAAGAAAATAAATGAATAAAGTCAAAATAATCAAATA